AAACTGGGGCCACGCACTCATCTAGTCCATTGCCTGCACTTGAAGAGACCAGTAAGACATCGGCCATCGCCTGACCAGATCAACACATTTTACTAAATATTGTATGAACCATCCGGTGATTTAAAAGCGTGGGTTGAGTTTTTTTGACTTATTCTGAAGACTTATTTTATAAAGATATAATTTAAATTGCAATAGTTGAACCTAGTGAGATGAGTTACTACGTAGACAGCGATTTTTATTATTAATCAATACAGAATGTAATAATCCTACTGCAGGTTGATGAAATTATTGGTCAATCAGGGAGTCAGGTCTAACAAGTCTAGTGATCCTAACTGCTGAAGACAGAGGTCGTGAATTCGTAGCACTTTGAGTACCGGCTTTTGGCAACCAAAGAAACTACGGGGTGGGGTGGTTTTGATCTGTACAAGACTGATAGACCCCTTCGCCCCTCCCCTCCACAATGGGCGCAGGACATTCATCAGGATTTTCTATCCCGTTTCAAAAAAGGCTTTCTCTATTTCTAGAGTTATGCAGTACCTAGTAATAAAAACAAGTTTTAATATATTTTTGCTAACCTTTGAATATAAATTATGAGTTAGGAGGGAAATAAGTTACCATAGTGCTATACTTCAAACTCGTTGAATTATTTATAATGCGGTGACTTTGACTTGTAAATATGCTATACGTTTGACATAGATAAGTACAACATTCCATTAGCTGTAAAATTAGCCAAATTAGGACATTTTCAGATCTAGGTCTTGATGGCATTACTTCAATTTTTAGAATAAGAAACAATATGAAACATCTGACTCGTGTCTTAATCAGAAATAATAAATAATTTAAATATATTCATGCCTTACAAAAATTTAAGAGAGTTTAAATTTCCTTTTGGATGTAAACTTTGCTGAGAATTTATTAAAGGACCTGAAATGGTTAAGGTCAAAAATGGTACTAGTGATAACTCACATAACGACAATAGTGGGTATGTCAAGCTCATCTTTGACACGCACCAACATGTCTCGGACTGTGGAATATGTCTCCCTCCAGGGATGATGGAGGATGGGTGTATGTTTACAACAATTCAATATATTGTTGACCAGAAGGAATGAAAGTTGCAACAAGCTGTGCAATTTTTACTTTATCTTAGTACTATAATTTTGCTTGATTCTTTAATTGATCATGCTATTATTCTGCTACTACGAGTATCTCATAAATTTTTGTTTATGGTATATGGGTTTACGGTGGGCTAACGAGCAGACGGTTTACCTGATGGAAAGTGACTGCCGCCGTAGATGGACGACTGTTTTACTTTTCTTCTTTTAAAAGACAATTCCCGTATTAGGAATATATGCCCTATGTCGCGGGGGACTTTACAAACACATATGATATGACACAATGAAAACCCAGACTTGAACAACAGTTTGTGGTGTGGGTGTTCCTCCCACAACACTCAGCGCAGTAGGAAGCGGCGTGGCAACCGCTTAAACCACTTCCCTATCCGTACAGTCACTATAAATCTTGAGTTACAATTGAATTGCCATCCTTACAGACCCTCCCTCATAATCAAGGCGACTGAGGAGTTTAGGCTCCAGTAACCAGTGAGAGAAACTCGCTGAAAACTAACGAAATAATTACTCAACACCAGGTTTCTATGACGCGGTGGTATCACTCCGGTCGAGCCGGCTCTTTTTAGCCGAAGTACGGCTCTCCCACGCTATCACTAAACATTTTACTGTAGAGTATTAGTACATACGTACTGGACTAGTGATAACTGCGTAAACAAGTGTACTGGAAAACGCAGCGTGGGTGGTCCGACGTCCTGGTGAAGGCTACGGGAAGCTGTTGGACACAGCACAGGACCGGTTGTTGTGGCAAAACTTGGGGAGGCCTATGTCCAGCAGTGGACGTCTTTCGGCTGAGATGTTGTTGATGATGATGATGATGATAAGCACATAGTCAGACAGACTATAACAAGTCAAAACTCACAGAAATTTTACAAATATGTGAGCTAAGAAAGAAATAAAATATATTGTAATAAAATAATAAATTGAACAGCAAAGATTTTAATTCGATTCTCTCTCCCGCGTCTCTGTAATAAGACGTAATGTCCTACTCGCCAACCTAATTATCACTTTTTCAAGGAAAGCGCATGCTAAGTAAGGAAATTAATTAAGTTTCCGCAATAAATCATTTTACGTAGTAAAAAAACTAATGAGTATTCCAAGGTTGTCAGCCGCGTGTATGTCACTTATCGCTTTAACCTATATTACTTGAATGAATTTGAAAAATCGGTTTAGTGGTTTAAGCGTGAAAGCGTAACATACAAACAAACTTACTTTCACATTTATAATATAAGTATCATCATCAGCCTACGGCAGTGCACTGCTGGACATAGGCCTCTCCCATTGCACGCCACTTAGATCGATTTTGGGCTTCTCGCATCCAGCTCCTGCCAGCCATCTTACACAAATCGTCACAATATAAGTATAAGTATATGTACACATTTTCTTCGAGTTTGGGTATGTATGTACTTAGAAATTTACAAGTATGTTTATCAGCAGTCTGGTTACCAGAGTACAGGCTCTGCCTAGTTTGGGATCAGACGGCCGTGTGTGAGATTTGCAAGGTTTTTATTATTTTTTGGATCATGGTAACGATAGTAAGTTTTTTTTAAATAAAATAACGTTATTTAAACACTATTAAACAATTTATATTGTTTGTTTTAAATAAAATACAATACATTTCAATATTTACCTACCACTTATTTTAGTAACAAATACACTAATTGTACATGCACTAAAAAACAACAATAAATTGTATTTACTGTAGTAATTTCAGTGGTTTATTTTCATAAAATAAAAACACTATTTTTATTACTGTAAATAGTTCATAAAAACCCGTTAACGGAGATACTACTAATCGCATGATGTAGATATTATTAAGACGATGTATCATAACTAAAAGTTTGTGTTTTAGTTACGAAACTATACATTTATATGACAACAACATAGTAAAATATTCACACCATAGATCAGATATTTTATGGCATAGGAAGGCAAAAGAAGAGACGAGTCAACACCTGATGGGAAGTGATCTTTAAGTCCCCCCTCTCAGACTTAGAGGGAGGGGTGGTTTCGGGCTCTGGTAACGTTACTTAATTTTTTTAACTAAGGGGGCCGAATTTGTGTCGAAGTGAGGCTCTCGAAAGGTTAGAATTCTATAATTTAACCCTTGTTATTTTAAGTAAATCTTAATTTAAGGTTTAAGCTATTCGGGTCCAACGTCAAATCGGTACTGCTATATGGATTCGAAACGTGGAAGGTCGCAAAAGCCATCTCGAATCGGATCCAGGTCTTCGCCTAATTCTTGGGATATACTGACTCGAGAAAATCTCCAATGAAGATCTGTTGGAACGCTGCAATAAATCACCGATCGAACTCCAGATCAAGCACCGTAAGTGGAACTTGATTGGCGACACTCTGCGTAGGGACCTTGAGCAAATCGCCAGTCAGGCTCTGGATTGGAACCCGCAAGGAAAACGTAAGCGTGGCCTGCCAAATCGAACTTGACGGCGCACTGTCGAAGATGACGTCAAGAGAATAGAGAAGACGTGGAGTAAGGTTAAGTGCGAAGCTCAGGACCGTACGCGATGGAGAATTACTGTGGACGTCCTCTGCCCCTTCTCTGGGGCTTAGGATATTAAAAATGTTTTCAGTATGCTATATAAAATACACATCACACATCACATCAACAGCCTTTAATAGTCCACTGCTGGACATAGACCTCTCCTTAGAAAGAAGGTTTTGGCGTTGACTATACCACGCTGGCCAGGCGGGTTGGTATAGGGTTTGTGTCAAGTTTTCCGTCTTTTTGCAGTGCTGGTGTCGGTCTTGCGACACCCACGTGATGAATTGGAGTAGTGGCATTCCGTATTCTTAATCCGTCACTACACTATTACACTATAAAATAAACATGACAACAACTAAAGTATAAAAGGAGAAAGACAAATCCTCTATCAATAGCAAAATATGATGGTTGATTATAAAATTTATACCGTTTAATAAGTCAGTCATTCTATTTTCATGTAACTATCTAAAAAAATTTAGAAGTTTGCTAAAAGTACATAAATTTTACTCAAAGAATTGTTACAACTGCAATAACTAAACGTTCAAGTGTTGTTAATAAAACGCATTCCTACGTTTTCTAAACTTGCGATGTATAAAATATAAATTACAAAAAAACGACATGTTTACATCGAGATTAATGAATGAGCTCACTAGTGTACTCGTATTAGCAGTTAAAAATAAACATTTCTTTATTTATACTGACTGTTGACTGCACAGATTAGACGAAATAATAAGAGGATTATTATTTTAAATTAAGCAACTTAAGGAAAGGGCTTAATAAATTTTATTTAAATCGATTAGATTTATCGTGAATATTATGTAAAAAAAGTAATAAAATTGATCAACAAATCATAAACGAATGATTTTAAAAGATATTTAGGTTAACTTGTTGACAGCAATTACAGCTTATTTGTGACAGCTGTTATTGGTATCGACTTCAGTACAGCCTGTATGCAAACTACAAACTGAAATAACTTTTAAAGCAAAGTTCTAAAAATCTTGTAAATCAAACTGTAATTGTCGATGATATTTTTAGCCAAATAAATACAACAAAAATCCCTACCATGAGATACGCAACGGCGGTACAAAAGTCCCATACATGCCGGTCCTTTTTATTTGCTGACATTAGTTCATTTCATTATTATTTTTTGACATTAATTGAAAATTCTAAATAAATATTTTGACTATATGACATTTTGTATTGATTACGATCATTTTGGATATAAATGTCTCTCTCTCTCTCTCTTTTTCCTTTGTATGCCTTATTGTTAAGTATGGTGAAAGAACAATGATTGCATTAGCTTATAAGATCTGCAAATGTATAACCATGTTCGCAAATAATTAATTGTATTATGAATTATTAAAAATACTTACATATAAACGCCAACAAGAGTTCTTTCCAGACGCAATATTTGGGTTGTATTTTATTTTTTTCTTGACAATTCACTTGAGTTATCGTATACACCATTATGGCACAATCTTTGTACTGTCTCTCGATTGACACAAATAATATTAATTAATGTCAATTTCATCTACCGTCTTATTCAGTATCACAGAATATTGACACGTATAATGCCTGAGTTACACTATCACTCATGAAAATAACACTTAAAGTTATAAAGAAAAAAGTGATAAAAAAAACAAAAACGAAATCACTGCTGTTGTAATACAACGAATGAGTGAATTAAGGCCGATTCTTATTGATTTATATGCGCGTGCGCGTACTGTGCTAGTCTGCTTAGGAGCATATCTGGTAAGATTATAAACCTTTTATTTAATTATCGGGTGTTTACAAGCTGTTATCTTAATAATTGTTGATAAAGAGTAGTTCACACATCTTTGTAAATAAATTCTACATTTCCATGAATAGGTTTGTTCTACCTGAGCGTAACCTAAACTCCTGATTTGGAACACCGAATTAATAAGATGGTAATTTTTTCGTTATGCACAAACTAAAGTAAATTTTAAGATTTGAATATTTAATTTATTTACTTGTTGATATTTAAATTTAAATTAGTATTTCTATTAGTCTTGATACGTAAATTCAAAGATGCGATAATAAAATACAAAAGCGAGAAAAACAAGAAATTCCGTTAAGTATTGTAATATGAAGCCACTATCTTTTTTTTGTTTCAATTAAACATGATAATAATGTACTTTAGATACCCACTATACACTTTTTTGCCTTCCAATAATTTTATTGAATTGTAATCCGATACGAAACTACTCGCAACAAAAAAAAAACACCAGTATGTATATATCACAATATAGCACTTTTTATATAAATTCCAGCGAACATGATAGAGTTTAACAATGTTTGTCGATTCATTTATTTTGTAGTCACTATTTTATATAAATCCCTAAATTATATTTAAGGTAAGTAATATGCTAAAGAAGCTAATATAAAGCGTGTAAAAACGTGACGGCTGGCGCGTCTGAGACTAGACTGTTGCATACTGCGCAAGAGTGTTCGTCTGGCTCAAATTGTCCCGCAATAGCTTAAAAAGGAAGCGAGACTGCAATTTATTAATGTTTGAACATCTAAATGTGAGCTAATTTGAACTTGTAATACAAGTAATACAGTCAATTTGGACTTCACATGAACATAACATTTCATAACTGTGAGTGAATGTTATTTTAATTTCAAGCGTGTAGCGTTCTCAATATTCTTGTAGGTTTTAATGTTTTCGTGGATCTATTCAAACGTCAGAAGGTCAATTCTATGAAGAATTCCAATTCAATGAAGAATTGAAGTGAACTGTATTTGTCATTCCTTGATTTGTCACTTTAAATTACCTTCATTTTTTCCTCGAATTTAAACGATCGTGCCAAGTAAACACATTTTAAATGTTTTACCCGTAAATGCAGTATCTTCACTTAGTAATAATTATTTTACTTCAAAATTTAAAACACTTAACTAAAAGAAATAGCAAAATTTATGTAGGACAGCAATATTATTCCTGTGTTGTTTGATTTCCATGACTTGGAATTTTTGAGTACAATATCCAATCCAAATTATATTTTAAACTGTTATTTTTATTAAATACCATTGATTTATTTTCTTATGTTTTTCCTCGAATTTAAACGATGGTGTCATTAAAATAAATAGATAATATACTCGAACTATTGCAAAATTTCAAAAAGATTTTTTCAAAATTGGTTTGTAAATGAATAATTTAAACTATAAATAGGTATTAATATGATATAGTCAATTCGTACCTTAAAAAAATGAGACATTTTAGAAAAATCTTATCGTAAAATTCTCAATATTCTGGCAAGTTTTAATGTTTTTATGGGTCTATACCAATGTCAGAAGAATGTATGTATTCTTGTATGTATACGTTGGTATTTATATATTATTTCATTGCTTTTTGCTCAGTATTGCTATCATTACTTCTTTTATGTCCACTTTATAATTCTCAACCAAAGGGCACCTCCACACTCATTTCCACACCACCCTAAGGTAGACTGGTAGAGAATGCCTATGGCATTAAGTCCGCCATTGTACTTATGTGCATAAAGTTGATAAATCAATAAATAAATTTTCAGTTCCGAACTTCTCTCGATCTCACAAATGTCGTGAAAGGTATTCTCGTAGTAAAGTATTACTAAGACTAGCAGAATACCGATTCAACTTTCGATCACAATACGATATAATTACATTACAGTCACAGTTGAATATTCAATGCTTTACTACGAGAATACCCTTTATAACATTAATGATATCGAGAGTAGATCGGAACTTAAGTTTGAATGTTTTTGACGTGACAACGTCTTGTAATTCGATGGAGCCGGCTGCACGTACGAAAAAACATGACTCATGCGGCGTTACCTCGCTCTGATGCGTTCCATTTAAGACGTGAAGTGCAAGCGAGAGCGCGGAACGTGTGACAAAGAGGCACAATCGGCCTCCGCGTTCGGCAGCGTTCGACATCTGTCTCTCTCCTACTTGAGTGAGCGATGCGTCCGCGTAGACAGCTGCTACTCGTATACAATAATACATTTTTGAAAAATGCAACCATTCCATCAGTATTTTCTTATGACGTTGTCACGTTCAACTATCGTCAGTAAACCGACTTTACAGACAACCGATTTTTTTATGAGAGACTGGCTGTCGTCGTTTAGAGCCGTAGAGTTCTCTGACTACTCAATTAAATACGACTAGTCTAATGGGCGCCGTATCTAATTATTCCGATATTTAAATGGTTATTTCATAAGCGTAAATAGAATTGAATGTTTTCGCTTGGAATAGTGAACACATGTGCAAACTGTTAAATTTGAAGAACGGCTCAGCTTTAAGTTTAGACCTCGTTTGCAAAATATATTTCGTGCTAATTGTCATTCGTAAATAGGAAAGGTCTTTATTTTATTTTTTTACTAATTCGACGTGGCAGATAGAATAATCTTTTTAGTAAACTTAAAAATTGAAAAAGACATATCAAAATAGTTTACATATTTTCAAAACCAAATTACAAAACATGAATAGAAACATAAAAAATATTAGAAAAGGAAATATTAACCTGAAAAAACGGCGGAGGAGAATAGGGCATTTTTAAGCCCTTTTTTTATCACACTTCCGTCTGATTCCAAACTAGGCAGAGCCTGTACCATGGTAACCAGACTGCTGAAAATTATTTTTCCTGGGTGGGAACCGAACCCACGACCTCCGGTTTAGCAGTCAGGGTCACTACCACTAGACCAACTGGTCCTTCTTTACAATACATACTTGTAAAATCACCACTTACAATCTATCTACACCTACTGTAGATAGATTGTAAGTGGTGAGTTACCACCACTTAGTTACTTAAGACCACTTACAATGTATCTACACCTACTGTGAGTGGTAGTTACCACCGCTTACTTACTTAAGACCACTTACAATCTATCTACACCTACTGTAGATAGATTGTAAGTGGTAATTTACCACTACTTACTTACTTAAGACCACTTACAATGTATCTACACCTACTGTGAGTGGTAGTTACCACCGCTTACTTACTTAAGACCACTTACAATCTATCTACACCTACTGTAGATAGATTGTAAGTGGTAGTTACCACCGCTTACTTACTTAAGACCACTTACAATCTATCTTCACCTACTGTAGATAGATTGTAAGTTTTGAGTTATCACCACTTACTTACTTAAGACCACTTACAATCTATCTACACCTAATGTAGAGAGATTGTAAGTGGTGAGTGCCATGTTGCATGTGTGAAAATAGGCCGACTTAACCAAAATAATAACAATATACCTCACACATCTCACACACAGCCGTCTGATCCCAAAATATGGTAACCAGACTACTGATAAACATAATTATATGTTATAACAAACATACATATTATAGAAACCACCCAGACATAGAACAAATGACCATGCTCATTACACAATATTTGTCCTGAGTAAGAATCGAACCTCGGACCATTGGTATAAGTAATTCAGTAATCAGTAATATGTACACGAACGAATACACTGGCCTCGATATTAAGAATTTGAGTCACACAATTTCTAGGCTATCACCAGCTTATTTGCATGGTTTGAGACAGTATGACGTCACTTTTTTTGCTACCCAAATAACGTATTCATGAGGGCCACGCTTCTACAGAAAATGGCCGGTTCGACTTTTATATGTTATTTGTTATTATCATTCATCAACCCACTGTCCACTGCTGGACATAGGCCTCTGCTTACAAAGGAGGTTTTCGCATACTATACCACGCTGGACAGACGGGTACAGATAATTTAATAATAATTAAGTGCTAATAATCGGTAGTTTGGTATACATTTACACTTATTTTTATGTTAATACGTAGTTTTTTAAGTTTCATGTAATCTTGTCTTGTCATTGACATGTTGTGTACATATATTTTGGAACATAGCTAAGATTGAAATTGTGAGCGTTAGCTATTTATAAGACTAGATTTTGTGTTATGTTCTATTTTGTGTGACTAAAAAAATATATATCATATGATGAAATGATATTTATTTCTGCAAGTAAATCTTTTCAGATATTTTTACAAGGCGGACTTTACAGCTAGAAGGCGCCGAACAGAACAAGAACACTATAAAAAGATCAGTATGATCAACAACATCAACAGCCTATAATAGTCCAAGGCCTCTCCTTAGAAAGGAGGTTTTGGCCTACTATACCACGCTGGCCTGACGGGTTGATATAGGGTTCGTTTCAAGTTTTCCTTCTCTCTTTTTTTTTTCTTTTTCTTTTTTTAAAAAGACAACTCCCGCATTAGGAATAAATCCTGTGTCGCGGGGGACTTTACAAACATACATGAAACGGACACAAAGAACACCCAGACTCAGAACAACAATTTGTGGATCACACAAAGTGTCGTCCCATGTGGGGTTTGAACCCACAACACTCGGTGTAGTAGGAAGCGGCGTGGCGACCGCTTAAACCATTCGTGCAGGCAGTGTTGTTGTCATGCGTAGTTTGCTCCCTTAGTCTGA